TGATCTCCTCATTAGTCCAGTGGTCTTCCAGTAGTGTGGGTTTCAATCTCCATGAAGTGGGAGGGTTCCTTGTTTTCTTTTCATGATTTATTTCTAGCTTGATGCCTTTATGATTGGAGAAGATAGTTGGAATGATTCTGATCTTCATGTATCTGTTGATGTTAGTCTTGTGGCCCAGCATGTGATCAATTCTGGAGAATGATCCATGCGCACTTGAGAAAAATGTGTACTCAGATTTTTTGGGTGCAGTGTCCTATAAATGTCTGTTAAGTCCATGAGTTCTATGTCTTTATTTAGGGCTCTAGTGTCTTTATTTTTTGTCTCGTTGATCTGTCCATTGGTGAGAGTGGGGTGCTGAAGTCTCCCACTATATATGTATTTTCTTTAATGTCTGTTTTCAGAGCTGATAATAATTGTCTAATATATTTTGGTGCCCCTTCATTTGGTGAGTATATGTTGATGAGTGTTATATCTTCCTGATGTATTGTCCCCTTGATCATAATGTAGTGTCCATCTATGTCTCTTTTTACCTTAATTTTTTAAAAAGATTTATTTACTTATTTATACAAGTACCGGGTACAGTCAGAAGCATGGGAGGGTGAGAGAACTCACCAGAGCCAGAGCAGGGAGCAGAACAGACAGACTGATGAAGGTCACTGCTGAGGGGAGCAGCGGATGGCAGGAGAGGTCTGCGTGCCATGTGGGACCCTCGCCAGCGGCCGGGAATCAAACCGGCACTGCAGAGGCTACCGGCAGCTTCGCTACCCAGCGCTACCCAGCGCTCAACCGCTGCGCCACTGGGAAGGCCCTACCTTTTTTAATTTGAAGTCTGTTTCATCTGATATAAATATGGCTGTTCCTGCCTTCTTTTTTGGTCCATTTGCTTGTAGGATTGTTTTCCAACCTTTTACTGTCAGTCTATGTTTATCTTTTGTGGTTAAATGTGTTTCCTGGAGACAGCGGAAGGTTGGATTTTGTTTTTTAATCCAGCCTGCTACTCTGTGTCTTTTTATTGATGAGTTTAATCCATTTGCATTTAGAGTTAATATTGATATGTTGGCATCTGCATTTGCCATTTTGTCTTTTTTGTGATTTTATTCCTTGCTTTATTCTGTTCTTCTTGTTCAGTCCTCTGCTGGTTTTGGCTTTAGGACTTCTTGTAGAATTTTTTGGAGTGGGGATTTAGTTGTAATGAATTTCTGGAGTTTTTGTTTGTCTGAGAAGGTCCATATATTTTCTTCGTAGAGGAAGGAGAGCTTTGCAGGGTAAAGTATTCTTGGTTGGCATTTGCTGTCTTGAAGTTTGCTGAATATGTTACTCCATTCTCTTCTTGCTGTTAATGTTTCTTTGGAGAAGGCAGAAGTTAACCTGATTGGTTTTCCCTTATAAGTTATCTGTTTCTGCCCCCTTGCCAGTTTCATTATTTTTTCCTTGTCTTGGACTCTTGCTTTACTATTAGGTGTCTTGCTGTAGTTTTCTTTTCATTGTGGTAACTGGGAGTTCTTCTCGCTTCTTGTATGTCTATATTCATCTCCTTTTTCATGCTTGGGAAATTTTCTTCAATTATCTCCTTGAATAATTTCTCAGTTCCTCCTCACCTTCTGGAATGCCTATAACCATTTCCTCTCTTCATGGAGTCTGATAAGTGTCTAAGAGTCTCCTTCCTACTGCTTCATTTGCACTTCTCTCTCCTTTTCTCTTTTGGCTCTTTTTATTTCTGTATCTTCAATAGTACTGATCCGTTCTTCCATTTTATCGATTTTGTTTTCATTGCTTTTCCCAGAGTTCTTTATCTCCTCTAGTGATCTTTTAATCTCCTGCGTTTTTCTTTCCTTTCTTAAGGTCTCAAATTTCATTCTTCAGTTCAGTGATTATTTGTCTCAAATAATTTTTTTTCCCTTTTCGTTTTCTTTCCGCTTTTTAATCATGATGATCATTAATTCTCTATCTGATAGGCCAAGAAGTTCTTCCATGTCATTGTTGAGCTCTGGTGACCATATTTCTCTTTGTGGTGTGCTCTCCTGCAGGCTTGCTTGGTTATTCATATTTTTTCTTCTCCCTGTTGTTTGCTTTCTAATTAGTTTTATGCATTGGGACGTTGTGCCACTGGTGTTGGCAGGCATCTCTTTGGAGTGCTCCATTAGGGGTGCCGGAAACAGTTTACCAGACTGAGACCAGCATTGGTAGGCCAAAACTCCACCAGGGTGTTGATGCTGTGTTGCTGAGCGCTGTCCCTTATAGTTCCCTCTGTATTTACTCAGTTCCAACAGGGAATCAGCTAGTTGGTGATTTTGTTCTGGTCATGAGGTGGGCGCCAGAGATCCGTACTTGCTGACCTGTGCTTTTTCCCAGTGGTTTTCTGAGAAACAGGGGTGGGGGTTTGTGGGGGGGTGGGTGGGGGAAATAGGATGGGGGGGCAGAGGGGAGCACCTCAACACAGGGGCTCTTAGTCAAGCTGTGAGCTGTGTCTGCTCCGTGTTCACCCGGTGCTGTGCCCACAGCTGTATGGATTGATAGGGTATTTTTAAACTTTTCCCCGTCCTCTGTTAGTTTGGAAACTTTATGTTATGTGTTTTTCTATTTGGTAATTATCTTTAATTTTTGACATATATGTTTAAGTAGACACATTTTTTTCTAACAAGTTCTGAATTTATTCCCCACATTGATGCTCCTACCAAACAAAGAACTTAAAAATAGTTTGATTATCCACTGAAAATGATCTCTATTCCTCCATGCTGTATTGTCTAGAGGTTTGGTTACACCCAATTAATAAATACAAAATTTGTAACTCTTATGTTTATATCAATTGGATTCTTTGAACAAATACTTTTTAAGTGCCTAGCTTGTGTCAGGAGCAATTCTAGACACAGATCCCAGAATGAAGTCCTAGATAAGGTCCCTGCCTCTCTCAGAACTTAGAGCAAATGTTCTAGTTGTCTTTGCTTCTGGTGCCCCCCTCCTTTCAGGGGCCTTTGGGGGGCTGAATCTCAATGTGCAAATTTCTTTTCTTCACTTTCATTCTTGAATGATGTAGTTTAACTAGATATGGAATTCTATTTTAAAAGCTATTTCCCACTGTTCTTTCTGATGTCAATCAATTTTGTCTATCTGGTCTTTCTAGTTTGAGAAATTTTCCTCCTGCTGGTATAGCAAGTCAGTTTCATTGGTTTCCAGAGAATAAGCAGGTGTGCACATTCAGAATCGCTCACAGGCCTATATTAGGAGAGTGGGGAAGAAACATAGCAAAAGGCTAAGACTACTCATAATTTTGTTGTAGTTGGGCCTCCCTGGTGGTGCAAGGGTTAAAGTCTCAGCACTATCACTGGCCACTGTGGCCTGAGTTCAATACCCCCCTCCCACCCCTAGAGAGAGCTGACCTGTCTAGCCTGCTGCTCCCCTCAGCAGTGTATTTCGGTAGATCCACCTGTTCTGCTCCCCACTGTTTCTGGTGAATCCTTTCACCCCCCCCATACCTCAGCCTATACCCCAATTCTTATATACATAAACAAATAAAAATAAATCTTAAAAAAAATTTCATTTCAGTTTCCAAAGTGAAACATGCTTACATGTTAATGGGATGACCTAGTTGACTTTGTAACAGAGGAAAAAATCTGATGAAACACAGTCCCCAAAAGAGTCATCAGCAGAGCTGTGGCTAGCTCATGAGCCATTTTTGTTCAAATTAGAAAGAATTTCCATTTTGTTCAAATTAGAAAGAATTTCCAGGCAAGACCAGGTGCATGAACTAGTGAGTACAGTGTTAGCCAGATTTTCAGCTCCCAGTCTCTTTTCAAATGGTTGCCCTTGTGTAGAACACACCAGAAAAACACAATAATCCTGGATGGAACACTTAAAGAAGGGGTGGGGGTGGCCTCTGAAACAAGGAAGGGTCCTTCCTCCTTTGAAACAAAGAGATCATTGCTTGATGGTTGGTGGAAATACATTTTTTTTTTTAGTTCAAACTGTAAATATATACTATTCTATAATAACACATCATTGTGTAATCATGTGTATAATGCCAGGAATAATCTATATTGTGAGTTCTTATCTTGGCCCTCATCTTCGTTCATCAAGAAAACACACTTAGCTTTTTGACTCTCCCGTCGGCAAAAACAAGCGCCTTACGAAAGGTGGCAAAAAGGGAGCCAAGAAGAAAGTGGTTGATCCATTTTCTAAGAAAGACTGGCACGATGTGAAAGCACCAGCAATGTTTAATATAAGAAATATTGGAAAAATGTTAGTCACGAGAACGCAAGGAACCAAAATCGCCTCTGATGGCCTCAAAGGTCGAGTTTTTGAAGTGAGCCTTGCTGATCCGCAGAATGATGAAGTTGCATTTAGAAAATTCAAGCTAATTACTGAGGATGTTCAGGGCAAGAACTGCCTGACTAACTTTCACGGCATGGATCTTACCCAAGATAAAATGTGCTCCATGGTCAAAAAATGGCAGACCATGATTGAAGCTCATGTTGATGTCGAGACTACGGACGGCTATTTGCTTCATCTCTTCTGTGCTGGTTTTACTAAAAAAACGCAACAATCAGATTCGGAAGACCTCTTATGCTCAGCACCAACAGGTCCGCCAGATCCGGAAAAAGATGAAGGAAATCATGACCCGAGAGGTGCAGACAAATGACTTGAAAGAGGTGGTCAATAAATTGATTCCAGACAGCATTGGGAAAGACATAGAAAAGGCTTGCCAGTCTATCTACCCACTCCATCATGTCTTTGTTAGAAAAGTAAAAATGCTGAAGAAGCCCAAGTTTCAATTGGGAAAACTCATGGAGCTTCATGGTGAAGGCAGTAGTTCTGGAAAGGCTACTGGTGATGAGACAGGTGCTAAAGTTGAACGAGCTGATGGCTATGAACCACCAGTTCAAGAATCAGCTTAAAAATCAGACTTTGATGACAAATAAAGAGTCAAATTTGAAAAAAAAAGAAAAAGAAAAAGAAAACACACTTATCTTCTAACCAAACTTTAGATATTTTAAGTTTCTTACCCTTTCAAAACCACAAAAGTCAGCCCTTGAAAACTAGAAGAAAATAAAAAGAAACCTTATTTTTAATTAAAAATATGAGAAGACATCAACAATATATAGCAATTTAAATTACACTAACGGAAATCATTCTCTTTCAATATGCCAGTATTCAGTAAGATCAAACACTAAAGTAGCAGGCACTATATGCTGGAGATTTCCTCTTCAGTCTTTGTCCTGTTTTATCATTTGACTAATTTATCTATACCTTACCTTAATTCCAGGAAGGACTTGGAATCAAAACCAAATCCTTTTCATGATTTAAAGAAGGAGTTAAGAGGTGTGCGGAAGGATATTAAGTCAGTTACCCATTGGGTTTATAAAGGCACACCCTGGGTCTGTTATTGTCTGCATGGGCCTCTTTTTGCTGCCCAACCCCAGGCGGACTCTGGATCAGGTCCTCTTCATGTACACCCATGCCTCGTTCTCAGGGCTTTGAACTTAAGTTGCAGTGGGTAGTTAACTATCCACTTAAACAGTTTCATGATAAACACAGAAGCTCCAAATCTACTAGTTATCTGAGCCACAAAGGGTACCTTTTCAGAGATGGTGAGGGAAAGCTGTGATTATTCCTACACTGGAAGAAAGATAATAACCATGTATAGCCGATGCCTCCTATCCATGGGGGATCCATTCCAAGACCCCCAGCAGGTGCCCGAAGCCATGAAGAGTCCCAAACCCGACATACATTATTTTCCCTATACATATATTCCTATGGCAAACTTTAAATTATAAATTAAGAACAAGATACTAACAACAATTCATAACAAAGTAGAACAGTTATAACAATATACTATAATAAAACCTATGTGAGTTTCTCCTCCCCTGCCATGAAATATCTTCTTGTATCTATTTTTGGACCACAGGTAACTGAAACCAAGAAAAGCAAAACTGGATCAAGGGACTGCGGGATAAGAAATACCTGCTTCTCAACCAATAAATTGTTCCTTCTCTTCTTTCCCTTACTGTTTCCTAAGTCCATTACTACTCTAATTGTGCTGCAGTAATTTCGGAGAGGTATTTATTAGCATGTTTTAAAATTTCATGGCATGCATATTGCACATCCTCACCAGAATGTATATTCTCCTTTACTCAGTCCCAAAACTTATTTTTAATTTGTTACTTTGTAAGGCTCTATTGAGCTTTATTCATTACCTAGCACATATAACCATAGATAGCATTAGGGAGCTAATCAGATATGTAAAGAATTTTCTACATGTACATATTTAAAACTTACTATACATGTGTACAGCAATAAAACCAGCACCATTTCCAAATGATACATTATATACTATAAGGCAAAGAAAAAGCTGCTCTATTATGTTGTTACATATTTTAAAAGGAAGGGGTATTTTAATTCTAAATATACTATATATCTAAAGTATCCAATATTTCTACTTTATATCACAGAACGTATGTAAGTTTATAAGGAAATTCACATACCCGTAAAGTTAAGTTTTTTGGGTAACGAAGATCTTCACTTACAAAAAGACCCAAAGAGGTGAGGATAACTAAAAAATGATTTGTTAAAACCATATCCACCACTGAGAGCGTTCCATATTCTAAAGGAAGAAATCATACCATGCATTACAAAGTAGGGGAAAAGTGAGTTCAACAGCAGAACAGAGACATTTTACAAATATTGGTCAATCACTGGTAACATGAAAGGCTGAGTGTGAAAGCAGTGTTAGAGGAATTACCTTCTCCAGATTCTGTAAAGGAATTCTCTGACAGGTCATACCAGAAGGTTTCAGCATAAACCCAAAATGCAGAACTGGTGAAGCCTACGTAGACACCTAATGTGTGAGAAAAGGAAAAGAAAGACCGGACAATTGTGTAAAGTTAGTAACTCAACTTTATGGTGCCAGATCTCCAGGGCCAGCGCCTGATTTCTCCACTCACCATCCGTTCCCTACTCCCGCCTCAGCTCCTCACCTCTTAGCTGGAATCTCACACACTTAAGCATAGGAAAAATGAAGTAACTTCAGGACATACCACAAGACCTTAGTCAATCATTTTGTTAGGGGGAAGTGATGTCCTGAGTTAATCCCATACAGGATTAACTTTGTGGACCCCACCCCCACTCCAGACTAAAGCCATCAAGACTCTGGGAAAGACAAATCCCATCACCACCAAGGGAGGGTGGCTGGGACCTGAGGGTGGAGTTGGGCAGCCAGGTTGGGTATAAAAAACCAAACACGTGGGCCTTGGGCTCTCTCTGGCTCGCCATCGCTCGCCTCCTGGCTTCACCGCTCCTGGCTGGCGGCCAACTCTGAGAGCGCCATTTTGGGATTCCTGATCAGCGGATAGGGTAGGACTCATTTAAAACTTTGTCTCCCACTTTTCTCCCAGAGCTGTACATTTCCTCATTTCCCTTCCCTTTTCAATAAACCTTTTATTAACCTTTCACGTGTGCCTGCAGTGGAGCATGGATAAGTCCTTTTAAGCGCGCGGGTGAGGACCCACAGTCAGGCACCCCGTTTTGTATCGGGGTTGCTCTACAACAATTTGACTTAAGTCTTAAAAGATTTTGTTTTATACTGAAGGGGATCTGGATATTCCACCCCAAAATACGTCACTTTGGCATAAGACTGTTTTGAGCTGGAGGCCATTGAGAATCAACAGATGCAGGAAGAGTTCTTTGCCTTCCCCATATCTTTCCAAAAGCAGAGCATATACTTCCCCCTGCGAAGGGTGTTCACCCCACCCCTTGTCCTAAGAAGAGAAGAACATTCTTATCAGCAGATAGAGGCCTATTTACATAAAAAGATCTTACTAGGGTAATTATCTTCCACTAGTCTCCTGCATATTTCCTAATCACTTCCCTAACATTTCATTGTCCCTTAAAGGGATAAACTTATTTTCCTTGTTAAAATGGATTATAGACCCCCAAGTTTAACCACTTCTTTGAGTTTTCACTTCTTTTCTGTAAATTTCATAGATGTAAATGAGTACTGAGTGCCTTTTCTCCTGCTAATCTGTCTCTGTTATAGTTTAATTTGCAGGCCTCACACACAGAACTTGAGAGTAGAGAAAGAGTCCTCGCCCAACCCCCTCTTGAAAATATCCTCCTAAGCATGAATATATTCATATTTCAGGAGCATAATCTAAGTCAATAATTTATAAAACTCCAAAGAAGAAATGAAAATGTAAACTCTAAGAAGGAAGAAATGAAACGAGCTCACTCTCGCACACCATAACTAAAACAAAGAGACACTCTCCAGAATGGGAGAAAATATTTGCACACCATACATATGACAAGGAACTGTTATAAAAGAGCTGATACAATCAACAAAACAAACAACCCAATCAAAAGATGGGCAGAGGAGTAGTTCTCCAAAGACGGCCCTTCTCCAAAGAAAACATACAGACGGCCAAGAGGCACATGACAAAAATGCCCATCATCACTTATCATCAGGGAAATGCAAATCAAAGCCACAATGAGTGAGAGTGATCAGAAGCAACAAGTGCTCCCAAGGGTGTGGAGAAAAAGGAACGCTCTTCTGCTGCTCGCAGGAGTATAGACTGGTCTAGTCCCTATGAAAAGCAGTAAGAGATTTCTCAAAAGACTAAAAACAGATCTGCCAGATGACCCAGCAATTCCACTCCTAGGTACCTACCCCCAAAATACAAAAACACTCATTCAAACAGAAACCTGGCCTCCTATGTTCACAGCAAACAATATCCGCAAACAAGTTACGTGCCCTAAAACAGATGACTAGATCAAGAGGATGTGGTAGAGACACACTATGGAATACGAGTCAATAATCAAAAAAGATAAACTCATGCCAACTGCAGCAATATCGATGGAGTTAGAAAGGATGATTCTAAGTGAAATAAGCCAGAAGGAGAAAGATAAATACTGGATGGTGTCACTTATATGTAGAATATAGAGAAACCAAATAAAGGGTCAGACAAAGACAAACTTTAAAATCAACCTTTGAAAGATGACCATAGATTGACAGCTTTCAGAGGAGGAGGGGAGAGGGAAGAGGGACACTGGAGGTGGGGTGGGTGGGGAGCACAATGGACTGTGGTGGAGAACTGGGGTGTTTCTGTGGTGGGGGTACTATAGTGACTGCACCTTAGGGGGTGCATCACCTCCTGTCAAAACACTAGCCAGGATGTAAAATGGTGACACCTCAGTAAAAATTAAAATTGAAGCAAAAGCAATGGCCGCTCTGAAAAAGTCAGGACACAATGAGTGTTGGGGAGGATGTGGAGAAAAGGGAATCCTGCTGTGGTGCTGGAGGGGATTGTAAATTGGTGCAGCAGCTGTGGAAAAACAGTACGGCAGCGCCTCAAAAAATTAAAATGACAACTACCATATGAGCCAGCAATTCTACTTCTGGGTATTTATTAGCAAAATATGAAAACAGTAAGTTAAAAAGATAAATGCACTTCTGTGGTCATTCACAGCACTGTTCACAATAGTCAAGATACGGAACTAGCCTAAATGTCTGATAATGATGGATGATTAGATCTTTAAAAAATGATGTGGTGTATATATATATGTATACACACACATTGCAATACTACTCAATTATATTTAAAAAAAAAAAAAGATGAAATCTTGCCATTGTATCAACACGGATGAACCTTGAGGGGATTGTGCTAAGTAAGTCTGAAGGAGAAAGAATTTAAAGAAACAAAGCAATGAAGAAACAAAAATCCATAGACTCTGGAAACAAAATGGTGGTTACTAGAGAGGAATAGAGGGCAGGACAGGTAGAGGTGGCTGAATGGTTGGTGGCAGGGTGGACTGTACAGTAGGTGGTGGGCATGGTATAACCTATACAATTGTCAAGGTGAGAAACACCTGAAACCTACACATGGTTGTAAACCAGAATTACCTCTGGTAAAGAACTTGTGTCCTAGATTTTAGCTTGGAGTATTAGATATTAATAGGGAAGAGAGGTATAGATTTTAGAGGACGATGAATCAAAAATTCTAGATTTCCCTTGTTACACATGAGATGCTCAGTAAACATCAAGGGGAAAGTTAAAATTGACAACCGAATACAGGAACTTAGTTTCAAAGGAGTCCTCAGCTCCAGAAATACAGATTTGGATATCATCAGCCTGAAGAGGGCAGTGCTGCCCTGAGGCTGAATTGTGTTTCCCAGAGAGACATTCGCGGAATGTAAAATAACCAAAGCAAACAAACGCAAAACACAACAACGATGATTCTTAGACTGTGAAAATCCTTTCTGGTTACCAGAAAGGATGATGGTGGAAGGAGGAGTGTGTAGCAGAGAGAACTTCGGTGGAGGGAGAGGGAAGCAGGTGCACGTACGGAGGTTTGAAGTTGTATCCAACTTATGGTTATGTAAATGATTGGCCAATCAATAAAATTTGTAAAGTGAAATAAAATAAAACTGGAACAAAAACATGTTGAGAGAGAGAGAGAGAGAGAGAGAGAGAGAGAGAGAGAGAGAGAGAGATGTGGTTACATAAAGAAGGAAAGTCAAGGGAAAAATCATGGGTTCATCAACATTTTAGGGTCACACCAAAAAAGAAGATGGCCTAGAAAAGTAAGGAGTGGCCCCTGGGATAAGAGCAAAGCAAAGCATGTCAAGAGAGGAATGAGTTTTGAGGAGTGGTCAACGGTGTCCAGGGCTGCTGCGAGGGAAAGCAGGACGAAGATAGGAACCGGCTGTGGGAACTGGCAATACAGAGACCACAGATGCTCGTGGAAGAACTGTGTCACAGGCGTGCTGGGAACAAGAGTCTTATTTATAGTGGAATGAAAATAAAATGGAAGGTGGAAAGGGTAGCACTGTAATAATAAATTCCCTCTATAAATTTAGCTTGGAAGGAAACAGAATAATGGGGAATGGAATTAAACTGAGTTACATGAAGGTTTTGTTTAAGGTGCTAAGGTGTTTAAGAGGGGAGCTATTAGGATTGTTGTATGTTAATGGATCTGACCCAGAAGAAGAGAACAGGAGCTAGTGCAGGAGATAAAAGGGCAAATGCGGGAGTGGGGGTGGGGTGGGGGGGTGGGAGAGTGGGGGGGAGGGAGTATGGGGGGTTGGGGGGGCTGGTGGCTCAAGGGGTTAAGATGCAACCTATGAAGCTGCCTGCAGCCACTGCAGCACGAGTTCAATCCCCAACCAGGGAGCTACCCACAGGGCACAGCAGACCTCTCTGGTCTTGCCCGCTGCTCCCCTCAGCAGTATATTTCAGTCAGTCTGCCTGTTCTGCTCCCCACTCTGTCTCTGGTGAGTCCTCTCACCCCCCACACCTCTATCCTGTACCCCAGTTCTTGTATGCATAAATAAATAACTCTTAAAAAAAAAAGGGCAAATTGCAGGGCAGATGCAGCAGCAAGGGTCTCCAGACGACAGGAGGGAACAGGCCCCGGAACAAAGACATGAGAAGTGACCTGTGAAGCAGCAGCAGACACACTCCTCATAAGGAAATAGGCAAAAAGGCAAAGCAGGCGCACAGGCCCAGCGATGAAGGAGCTCCTTGTGACCAACCCTGATTTTCTTTGTTAAGTATTAAATAGAGGCACAGCGGAGAATGCAAAGGGAAGAAAGGTGATGTAGAGTATTTGAGGAGTGGGAAGGGGTGTGATAAGGTCATTTTGCAGGGTGGGAAAATAAACATACCAGGAGAAAGAGAGGATTTCTGGGAGTGCCCACTTAAGATGTGTGATCATGAAGTTACAGTGAGTCCACTGGAATTTTAAAATGAGATTAGTGGAAGTTTTTTCTTAGCAAAAAATTTCTAGCCATTGTATGCCCCTCCCGCTCAGAAGTAGGGGTGGATTTAACTAGAGTGGGGGTTGTGAAAGAAAGGAAGATAGAAAGGGGCAAGGAAGTGAAAGAAGTATTTATGAGGATGGGCTGTGCAAATTATGGTGAGAAAAGGTGAAGATAAGAATGTGGGGAAGAGAAAAAGGAGAAGGGACAACACATTGACGTCTCAGTGAAATCAAAGAGAGGTTGGCGCGTGGGCACTAGAGCAGGGTGAAAGGACAGGATGGAGTGAACAGAGCACGAGATGCTCGTAGAGGAGTTTGGAGAGTGAGTGACATCATTGGATCCAGCCAGGTGAAAAATATGGCCACAGAAGATGGAGCTGAGGCCTTGAAACCGAGTCCTTCCACACGGGTGGTGAAGTCTCTGAAAGCAGGGGCAAAAACAAGGGCAGAGGAAGGCCACACTCAGCAGTGAGTGAGTGTGCATGCATCATGGTGGGGCCCATATGCTGGCAAGCAAGACTTCAAGAAGAATTAAGAGGTGTTGAAAGGAACTGGTGTTCTGAAGGAGAAGACAGGAGTAATTATTAAGAAGCAATGCCAAGGCGCACAAGGACACCCCGCACAGGAGCTCTGACACATGCTGCGGGGAAAGGCTACAGGGCAAAGGCTGTTACTGGGAATGGCCAGGTGACGCTTCATGGCAGGACGTTTAGAGACCATTCAGAGAAAAGATCAGTGGTAGAATGTATGGGGTGGGGGGATGCTGATGACAGGCTGTGAATTCCAAAGAAAGGATTGGGGTGGATGGAGGGGCCAGAAATTTGGGTCAAATTAAAGGAAGCACAGAAGAGTTTGTGATGTAGGGTCATAAGCTGGGAGTCTAAGGTTTCTGGTGGTGACTGATAAAACTGGGAGAGTCTGATGGATGAGTCTTAAGAGTGTCACAGAGAAGGAAAGCGGAACAGGTTCCCACCATTAACTCCATGAGCTGTGAGGTCAGAGGCGGGCGAGCAAGGGCCCACAGAGGAGGTGCTAGTGTAGGTGGTGGCAGCTTGATCCTGTGGGAACTTCTCTTTTGCCTCAGTACCGTGTGGCCAGCTGGGGAAAAGGCGGTTTCCGATAAAGCATTGGTTGCTGAAGCAGTTTCTTTTCCCAAGAGGTAGAGGCAGTTAGTGGGTAAGATCCCGAGGAGCTGAGACCATCCCTCCTTCTCTGATTGAGCTTGAGGAGGTGAAAATAGCTCCTGTCCTGTGGATCCTGGAAGTAAGGCAAGTTTGGTGTTTGGATAGCGAGGAGATCAAACCTGGCATCCTCGGAACTAAGCTGAGTATCCTTCTGGTTGACAGGGGAAAGAGACATAATTCTGAGTAAACTAATTCAGCACAAGTAGGCACTCAAAGCTAGAGACAGTGAAAGATGCTAAGTTTTTAGGAATTTAAAAAAAATGGGGGGCAGGGCTATTTGTCTCTCTCTACACAGGGACCTCAGTTATAATCTATTACTTTATAAAAAGTCATGGTAGGGAGAGCTTTTGTTCTTTGAAATTATGCTTGTTAATTCATGTTATTTCACTCTCCCATATGAATTTTTGAATTGGTCTGTCAACTCCCCAAACACCTCCCCAAATATTGCTATGATTTGTGTGTGTGTGGGGGTTTATTGAACTAATAGACAAAATTTGGGGAAAAATACCATCTTTCCAGTTTTTATAACTTCTACACAGGCCTTGGAACTTTATATTTTTTAAAGATTTATTTATTTATTTATGCAAGAACTGGGGTACAGGCCAGATGCACGGGAGGGTGAGAGAATTCACCAGAGACAGAGCGGAGAGCACAACAGGCAGACTGATGAAATACACTGCTGAGGGGAGCAGTGGGCGAGGCAGGAGAGGTCTGCCACACCATGTGGGACCCTCGTGGGCCGGCCGGGATCAAACCGGCGCTGCAGAGGCTGTGGACAGCTACATAGCACTGCACTCAACTGCCGCACCACCAGGTGAGGCCCTGGAACTCTAGTTTTTGGTCTATTCCTAGGTCCCTTTTGGGGTGGGTTGCTTTATTACTTTCTGGGTGGTTTTTATAAATTGCTATTCTTTTTTTTTAAGTTTTTTTTTTAAAGATTTATTTATTTATGCATACAGAAGCTGGGGTACAGGCCAAAGATGCAGGGGGTGAGAGGATCCACCAGAGACAGAGTGGGGGACAGAACAAGCAGAGTGACAGAAGTACACTGCTGAGGGGAGCGGCAGGTGAGACAGGAAAGGTCTGCCGCACCATGTGGGTTGCTCCCCGGCCAGCCAGGGATTGAACTCGTGCTGCAGAGGCTGCGGACTGCTTCACAATGCGGTGCTTAACCCCTTCCGCCACCAAGGAGGCCCTATAAATTGCTATTCTATCCCTCAATTTTAAACACTCCTTATTTTTTTCTGATAGTTTTTTTCTACTGATTCTTTTGGGTTTTTATACAGATACATCTATAATCTATATTACCAATGTAATAATATTTTATCTGTTATTTAAAATGTTATTTAGCATGATAATATTTTAGTGATATTATTTAAAATAGTCATTAAAATATTCATTAGGAGGTTCTCAATGACCTAAGAAAATATGGTTAATAGCTGAAATGTATAAAGATACTATTAAATATTATAATAATCATGGCAAAGCACATACATATTAAGGAAAATAATATGATGCCTTAGAGCAAAAATACTATTTATACATGTACGGCAGGAATAGCAGCAGGATCAGAACCATGCTGAATGACCCCTAAGCGTCAGCAGCATCATTGGAGCGGGGAGGGAAGTAGAGGAAATTAAGGGAAACACTAAAGTCACTATTAACAGGGCAAAAAGCTGCAGAGAAAGAAAAAATACATCACATTTGCAAGCACTCAAGGTGAAGTAATAAAGAGCAAATTTTTAGGTATTTTTCAGAGAAATTTTGACTCCATTATGTCTGTGTATTTAACTTGTACTGCCAGTTAAATATCGCTGTTATAAAATACTGAACACCACGTCCAACATTCAGTAAAGCCAGGAACTTACCACTACGGGTTGAATTCAAAATGAGGCCAAGTAATGCTATATCGTTGGCGCAGGGAGATTTTGTCACTATGATGTCTACCACATGTGGCTGTATATCCTCGAATTCACTTCTTGACAGCCTATGGCCCATAGACCACTGAAGAAGAGGCTCTGTGGAGATCAAGTCTAGGTGTTTAAATTGTAGCAGCAGACTTAAAAATGGAACATTATGGCTTTCTTTAAAGGTTTTAAAGCAACAATGTAAAGCATTGTTCAAAAAATGGGTGTATTACCTTAGTTTTCATCAGTTAAAAATTTGCTGACACAATTTCTAGAGTCAAGGGAATGAAGTCTAATTCCCCTTGACAGGGGCCTGCACAGTCGCCCTGCAGGAGAGCATGAAGCTTGGGAGATACTGCACAGGCCGTCTTTGGAGGGTACTACTGGCCCCAGGCTCTATTGCTAGAAAAGGAATTGCTGGATCACAGAATTTGCACATTTATAATTTAGACAACAACTTCTGTTTCAAGAGTCTATGTATTTACTTCTTGTTCTCTTCCCTAAACCCACTTACACAGTGGTAGCTTTATAAAAAGGAGAATAAATCCACTAATCCACTAGAATACATTCACCAATGAGACCCGGGAGTTGACACGAGTGGCCAAGACACTTAGAGGGATTTCTGGGAGATATAAAGAAACTGTGGTGAGCCCAGCAGGAAAAATCAGTCTAGAAATGGGACACCGTTAGCCTTTCAACTTTGCAATCTATTCTTGGATATACAAAGAGTTAAATTTGGATAAGTTTATATTTTAAAGCATAATAAAACGGGAGGATAGCCTTTCTTGTGGAAAAAAAAGAAAAATAAGAGTACAAAAACTAAGCCAGGGTAATTTGACTGAATACAGTTGTCTGAATTTCAAAAATATTTAAAGTACTTTTAAGAACAGAGATATCTAATAATACTTTACTGTTTACATTTCTACAATGTAAATATCCATCTCCCCAAACTTTCACTAAAATCTGTAGCAAAACCAAAGCCTATGTAATACATATTTTTACTTTGAGCAAATCAAGATAAGAAGGTAAATTTCCATCTGTGCTGACACAGTGGATAGCACAGCGACAGCTAAGAAGAGACATAATTTACAACAGTGTCACCCCAAAACTCAATGAAATTTGGGGCAAGGCAGTTGACTTTCCAGAGTGTAGCATGTGTGTACAGGCAGTTAACAACCAGACCTGAGAGGCCAGGGAGATTTGAGCTTGCATCTGGGGCACCATTACAAACGCCTTTAACTCAGATGTTGCATTTTATTGATTGATTGATTGATTGATTTTCCTAACTTGGTTCTTTTTTTTTTTTTTTTTAAGATTTATGTATGTATTTATACAAGACCCCAAGTACAGGCCAGATTCGCAGGAGGGTGAGAGGATTCACCAGAGACAGAGTGGGGAACTGAATAGGCACATAGACTGAAGTACACTGCTGAGGGGAGCAGCCAGCAAGACAGGGGAGGTCTGCTGTGCCATGTGGGTCAGCTCCCTGGCCAGATATCTAACTTGTGCTGCAGAAGCTGCTGATAGCTTCATAGTGCTGAGACTTAACCCCTTGTGCCACCAGGGAGGCTCCCAGTTTTTTTTAATTATTACAAATAATGTACATTAAGTAGATTTGTACCTGTCTTTTGTCACATGTGAAACTTCCTCTCTAGAGTAGTTCTCAATCTTCTGCATGTCAGAAACAATTGGGAAGATTTTTTTTTAAACTACAGATACCTGGCCCACATGTAGAAATCAGATTGTGATTGGTGTTTGGTGGGGTCACGACGTGATTACTGTGTGATTCTTTCCATAAAATGTAGTATTTCTTTATTTCCTCTATGAACCACATCAAAATGGGAGTAGAAGGATAAAAATTAAAATGAGAGTGAGGATTGAGGATTAAAAAAAAATATTTATACTATAGTGGTACAGGTGATCCAAAAGTTGGATCAGACAATTGGGAAAAACAGTCCTAGTAGGTTATATTACTCAGTGTATATAAATAACCTCAAAACAGCCAGTATTTCCTGAAAACATACAGATGTTCCTAACTAAGACTAAACAAGAAATTTTGCAAGTGGTACTCAAGATAGTGATGCAAAGAATACTACCTCCTATAATGTCTTAATAGAAGACAAAAAAACAATGAAGCCATTGGTTATTATACCCTCTAATATGGCTATAGAAAAAAATCCATGTCCATATTCCTACGGCACTCTTTGAAGACCTGTATTAACAACTACCCAAAGTATTTAATTCTTTGTCTCATCAGATTGTAAGTTCGTCAACAATTATGAGATCTCTTATTTATTTTTTACTTCTAGGACTTAGCACAGAGATGGCATATAGTAGGTGAACAGGTTTGTTGAAAGAATACTACAAATTCCATTTTCCTTCTTGATCAATTAGCATTTACCTCGAACCGTATCCAAGAGTGTGCCTTTAGTAACATACGTATTTATTGCATGTTGGAAAGTAATCCTGATTAACCATTCTTCTACAGCTGCAACATCTGCTTAAAAACAAAGAGCAAGAGGAGAGAAGAACATAAGGGCCTATCGTGATGGTTCATGGGAGAATTGGTGGTGGGAATATTATGGGGACTACACCTGAAAAGAGAAAGCACACAAGCATACATTGTACAAAAATGAACAATGATCATAAAAATAAATAAATTAATTAAAAAACTCAAAAAGCAAATAATCAACTATTTTTTGTGTGTCATGCTGGTGAAATTTGACTGTATGAACACTACCAAAGAGGATTCCACGTCCTTGCGTAAGGCTTCCCTTGTTTATCCTACAAGCATTTTGAGAGTAAAGCAAGGAAAAAAATGATGACGTGATCTAACTACCACAGCAATGAATCCTAATAATCATTTTAGATCATAATTTTTCTCTGAGAGCTGTTGTAGCTTGGTAAAAAGCAAACTACAACACCTCATGTGAAGTGGCATAACACATTATTTGAGAGTGCACCATAATTAAATAAAACATATAACGTAAGCCCTATGGCAAACATTAAACTATAAATAAGGAGCCAATGGTGACTATGAAGGGAATCATAAAAAGTAACTAATATGAAGGTGACAGATAATAAAAGTAAAACCTAAGACGTGGAGCAAAAAAGAAAATTACCTGATGATGTGTTTCCATTGAACACTGTCAACAATTACATTAGATGTAAACATTCTAAAAATAACAATTATTTGATTCAAACGTATCCTTTTGTTCTTCACCAAGTCAGTCAGGTCTTGTTTTTTACAGCACCTTCATAAATATTTGTTCATTGAATAAATAGCACTCTATGTTTTCTCCTTTATCGACTAAAAAAAAAAGACCGAACCATATGCAATCTATAAAAAGCCCACCTTAAATATAATAGCATAGATGTATTAAAAGTAAAAAGATGGGTGGGAGCCAAGGAAGTCATGGCTGGTGAACTCAGCTGAGGAGCTGCTGCAGTGGCTTCCCCCAGGGGCAAAGGCTAAGGCTGAGACTGAACTCAGGTGCTCGCATGAAGAACATGCCTGACCCAAACAGCTCATTGCACGGGCCTGCATGCTCACCCAGTCATCTAGGTGGTTCAGTGTACCACCCCAGGCATGATGTGGTGCTTCTGGTGACTGCTGAAGCAGCTGAATCCCAAGTAGATCAAGCACTATTTGTGATTTTTGCTGTCACTGCTGGAGTTTGGGAAAAATAAAGGTGTGAGAAAATAACAGATATGCTTCAGCTAAAGGAGTTTCCTGTGTGCCTGCCTGATGCAGTGAGAGAAGCTGATGGATAACCTAACTGGCCTTCACTGGGACTGAGTCAAAGATGGTATACATTCAACTTTCTTGAACTTATAAAACATGAAAAGAAGAGCTCTGAGGATCCACAGGTCTTGGTTGACTTTGCTCAAGTCCCAATTAAAGCCAGAAATAGAAAAAATGATGTGGGTGCTATGATGTTTATGATGTTTGAATATAAGGAAAATGTAGGTTTTAGCCTTTCATCAGCAATAACATTCAGTATTTTCTTGGTAGGTTTTATATCAATTACTTCTCTTTTCACATGTTTCTTAATGAGCATAGGCTTCTGTTTGGTGTCGACACTAATCCTGGTCATCCTGAAAACAAAGAAAGTATTCATCTCACCTGTTCTGTGTCTAACATAGTGACAGATGTATATGAAACAACCATGAGACTGTGTGGACATTGTTAGCTGGTATATACGAAGCTGGGGGCTGAAGAGTTCAATGCCAAGACCAAGACAACCCTGTGCAGGTACTTAATAGATTGTTACATCTATTTCACATGAACAAGATGTTCAAGAACTCCTGAGAACAACAGCCCTGCATGAAGAGCTATAGAAAAGTGGACAATCTAGTTATTAAACTCTTTGTTACTTTGGGTAAAGAAGGTAAGACTGTCCCACTCTGAAAATGTTTCTAATTTATTTCAATCACTCATAGACCTACCCTAGAGCCTGTGAGAGCTTCCCTTTTGATTGGACTTGGTTAGGGATTTCCATCCATATGTTAGATAATTCCAAGGTTATCTAAAATTATTCCATGGAATGGATAGGTACTTGAGGTGTCATTTTTTAAAGGCTTCTTCAAGTGAGTCATCGAAGAGACTTTCCGTCAACATGTCATTATAAAACCACACTTGAAGGTGATGATTGGAGAAATCCCAGCAGTAAATGCAGAGATGCTTCAAAATATAGGGCTAAGGGCTATAAGTGGTTGAGCGCTGGGTTGCGAAGCTGCCCGCAGCCTCTGCAACGCCGGTTCAATCCCCAGCCACTAGCTGAGGGTCCCACATGGCGCGCAGACCTCTCCTGCCGTGCCCGCTGCTCCCCTCAGCAGTGTGCTTCATCAGTCTGCCTGCTCTGCTCCCCGCTCTGGCTCTGGTGAATCCTCTCACCCTCCTGCGCTTCTGACTGTACCCAGTGCTTGTATGAATAAATAAATATATCTTTAAAAAAAAATATAGGATATCCATACACGATTATAAACCTAACAAAATTGTTTTCAAAGGCATCTGCCAAAGGCCAGCTCCGGCAAAATGTCATGTCAGGGGTTCCTGAAAGGATGAGACGGCATCGGCGAAACTGAGGGCTGAGGGGAAGGGGAATGAGGCAGACACACACACTCTATCTGGTGCTAGTATCTCCTGCGGAGGGTCTCAGCGGGGCTTTAGTTATACATTAAGGCAAGCGGTGGGATGACATCATAGACTTTTGGCGCCTACGTGCTTTGAGAAAAGAGGTGACCTTTAAAGTTAATAGATAATAAAATCTTCTACTCATTATTTCAGCCTAAACAATTACCTAAGACAGCTAATAGTCCACGGTACCTCCCTATCCGCCAAGGCTACCATATCAGGAGACTCCTCTACCTATATGGCCTGCAGCTAGAGACCAGTTGCTACCTGGTTACCAGTTATCAGAACTTTTTCTACCTAGAAACTCCTAGCATAATCAGCTTTATGAATCATTAAAAGGCTTCTTTAAGGAACTTCCATAAAAGGAAATTTGCGGCCAGTTCTGCGTTGCTTATCAGGCATGCTCTCGTACAATAATTATTTCCCGTTGTCAAGTGGACCAAACTGTTCAGTGTTTAATTTTTAAGTAGGTAATTCTCAGTGCCATGTACTTACAATATTCTTATGAGTATAATTTATTGCCCAATGTATTTTCCAAGAAGATTTTTGTTATGACCAAGAACAAAAAACAAAGGGATGTTTATTCTTCAGCCCCACCGTATGAGGCACAAGGAATCTTCAGCACCACAGTGTGAGGCCCTTTTTCTTCAGCCCCAAGGCATGAGGCTCTTTGAAAGTCTTCGGCCCCATGGCCCCACGGTGTGAGGCCCTTTTCTTAGCTGCTTGCCAGTGGCTGGGGCAGCAAGGCCCCTTGCAGCACGCATCAATCAAAAGCTGATTCTGCAGTTGAAAACATTCTTGAAGTCATAAGAATGGAGATAGGTGTGTTGGGCATGTGTGTTCCTGGCTCCTTAATTGGAGCTCAAGAAACAAGAAGCATCACAAAGATGAAGAGCCTATCATATTTGAGGGTCGGTAAGAACTCCTGGATGCTATCACCTGGGCTCGAGTCCCTCCATTCCTCCCCAAAGCCCTGTGTGTCCTTCTTTTTGAACTTAACATTCATTACCACCCTTTGCCCCCCACCATGTTCATCAGAAGCTCCCAGAATAGGAGGATGGCATCATTGTTAAGGCCATACAACTCATTTTTTGATGATAGCATTTCAAGATAGTAAAAGGAGATAAAGATGTTACAAGAAGATAAAACTCCAGATTGAAAACCTCAAGAGCCTATTAGTAAAATGAATCCAGCAATATTTAAAAGGATAATACATCATAAGGGAGAGCGAAGCAGGCTCAGAATTGGAAAAAAAAAAAAAAAAGAATCAATGAAATATATTGATGACCTAAAAAAGAAAATTCTTTTTTTAAATTAATTTTTTTAAAGATTTATTTTTATACAAAAATCGGGGTACAGGCCAGATGCACGGGAGGGTAAGAAGATTCACTGGCAACAGAGCGGGGAACAGAACCGGCAGACTGACTGAAATACACTGCTGAGGGGAGCAGTGGGCAAAAAAGGAGAGGTCTGCTTCACCATGTGGGATTCTCGCCTGTCGGCCAGGATTGAACCCATGCTGCAGAGGCTGCGAACAGCCTCTGCACCCAACCGCTGGCCCCACCAGGGAGGTCCCCCAATTTTTTTAAAGATTTATTTATTCATGCATACAAGAATTGGGGCACAGGCAAGAGATGTGGGGGGTTAGAGGATTCACCAGAGACAGAGTAAGGAACAGAACAGGCAGACTGAAATACACTGCTGAGGGGAGCAGCGGGCAAGACTGGAGAGGTCTGCTGCTCCAGGTGGGTTGCTCCCTGATGGGCCGGGGATCGAACTCATTCTGCAGAGGCTTTGGACCACCTCATAGTGTGGTGCTTAACCTTTGTGCCACCAGGGAGGTCCCCAAAAGAAAATTCTTATAATCATCTCAATAGTTGCAGAAAGAACAACACCAATTCAAGATAAAAACTCAGCAGACTAGGTATACAAGGGAACTTCCTTAATCTTATAAAGAGCATCTACAAAATACCATATAAATAATATCATACTAATGATGAAAGACTGAATGTTTTCCCCCTATAACTGAAAATAAGGCAGAGATTTCCTCTCTTACCATTCCAATAAGTGAATTTGACAAGGCTGCAAGTAGAGAGTCAATCTGCAAAAATCAATCATACTTCCACAAATGAACAATGAACAGGAAATTAAAGTATTGAAAAATAACTGCATACAGTAACACCAAAATCATGAAATATTTAGGCATAATAAAAAATATGTAAGGTCTCCACTGAAAACCACAACACCCAGATGAAATGAATTAAAGATGGTGTACATAATTTCACATGAATCACATTTAGTAAGTATGTCCCAAATAACAGAAGATATTTACATGGGATAACAAATAACTTTTAATTATATAAATGCTGCTTATGTTAAATTTTGGCAATCCAGGTTCATGAATAAAAGAATTAATGCAGGTCACTCTTACCTGTATTTTTAGTAATGTTTTCTCTGGGAATTTCAATCAGCCAATAAGCCTGAGCACTAAACTTGAATAAAGAAGACATCACAAGTCAGTGTTTTACAATATTAATAGCAACACTTACTTTGACATCCACCTTATCTTTTAAAAATTATATAAATTAAAATATCCAATGCATATACTCTTTTTTTTTTTTTTTTTAAGAGGCATGAATTTTTATTTATTTATTTGTTTGTTAATACAAGTCAGAAGCGCGGGAGGGTGAGAGAATTCACCAGAGCCAGAGCGGGGAGCAGAGCAGGCAGAAGGACCGAAGTACACTGCTGAGGGGAGCAGCGGGCGGCAGGAGAGGTCTGTGCGCCATGTGGGACCCTCCTCCCGTGGCCGGGGAGCAGCCGGGATCGAACCGGCGCCACAGAGGCCGCGGGCAGCTTCGCAACCCAGCGCTCAACCACTGCGCCACCGGGGAGGCCCTAATGCATATACTCTTTACCAAGAGATCTCACTCTTAGGAGTTTTACTTACAATATTTTCACATATGTGTGAAATGAAGTATTAAAGGATATATTTTCATGATTATTTATAAAAGTGGAAAATCAAAAAGATTAAAATATTCATCAGTTATGTATACAATAATACAGCTACAAAGTGGAATACCATTCATCCAGCCAAACCTGAGGCATTGTTGACTTCATGTATCAGAGGACAGAGTTTGAAGTTGATAGACAATTTGTGAATTTAAGAGAAAAATCCCAGGAGCAAGGGAACTGCAAGAATGGCAAACTAAGGAAATAAAGAAATTCTTTCCAGGGCCTCCCCTGGTGGCGTGGGCGGTTGAGCGCAGCACTGTGAAGCTGTCAGTAGCCTCTGCAGTGCCGGTTTGACCCTGGCCGGCCCGCGAGGATCCCACATGGCGCACAGACCTCTCTTGTCTTGCCCACTGCTCCCCTCAGCAGTGTATTTCGTCAGTCTGCCTGTTCTGTTTCCCACTCTGTCTCTGGTGAATCCTCTCACCCTTCCTCATATCTGGACTGTACCCCAGCTCTTGTTTAAATAAATAAATAAATCTTAAAAAAAAAAAAAAGAAATTCTTTCCAGATTCTTGGGCAACACATGTATAAGAGGAGACCCCTTACATGTAAAAAAAAATATCAGGAGTAAAAGCTAAAAAACTGAGTAGAAATATCAGGTGCTGAACCAATAAGACAGTTTGTTGTTTGCACCAATACAAGTAATAATCTTTTAATCTACCAACAACAAAAACAATAAATTCTCATAAGAACAAAGAAGAATCCAAAGTTGATGCAATTTATTATGACCAATGTCCAGTTGTCACTCAAAATAACAAGACATGAGTAAAAAGAGGACCATGTAATCGATATTCAGGGTGGTGGGGAGAGAAAAGGTAGTCAATAAACTGACTCAGAGTAGGTCCTAATAGCAGACAAAGACTTCAAAGCAACTATACAAATATGTTTGTCACTTTAAGGAAACTGTCCTGGGAAAGGAATGAAGAGGAAAGCCCACCATAGAAATGAAAAATATAAAAATAAAGTCAAATAGAAATGAGATTTAAAAGTATAGTAGCTGAAATAAAATATTTACTAGATGAGTTCAATAGTGAATTGAAGATGGCAAAAGAAAGAAAAGTGAACTTAGAGATATTGCTATTGAAATTATTCAATCTGTAAAAAGGGAGAAATTATTAAAGAGAATTAAAGAGACTTAGAGAATTGTGGGACATTATCTCATGTTCCAAAATGTGTGTAACTGGAGACCCAGGCAAGGAAAGAGATAAAGAAAGGGGCAGAACAAATTTTTTTCTGAGAAATAATGGCTGAAGACTTTCCAAATTTGGTAAATTTACAATCCAAGAAGCCCAGAGTAACTCAATCAGGTTCAGAGAAAGAGAAAAATCTTAAAATCATTAGGGAAAAATGACACATTACATACAAGAGACAACAAAATTAACAGCTAACTTCTCATGCAGAAGCAATGGTGTCAGATGACATTAAAAATGAGGGATTACATGTTCAAAATGCTAAAACAAAATTAAGTCAGTCCAAAATTTATATCTGACCAATTTTCATTCAAAAATTAAAGTGACCACTAAAAACCCACTAGAACTCATAAACGGGTTCATCGAGGCTGTAGGATACAAGATCAATATACAAAAACTAATTGTATTTCAATTGTTCTTACAATGAACAGCATAGAAATTAGATTAAGAAGGCCACTCCTTTTACAATAGCATCAAAAAGAATAACATATTAAAATAAATTCAGCAAAAGAAGTACAAAATTTATCCTCTGAAATGTACAAAACATTGCTAAAAGAAATTTTTAAAAATCTAAATAAATGGAAAGACATCCCATATTCATGGATTGGAAGACATTATTAAAATGGTAATACTACCCAAACTGATTTACAGATTGAACACAATCCCAGATGACTTCATAAAATTGACAAATTTATCCTAAAATTAATAAATTAATGAAATTCAGATGAAGACCAACAATCTTGAAAAAGAACAAAGCTGGAGGATTCATGCTTCTCAATTTCAAAACTTATTACAAAGTAACAGTATCTTGGGGGGGTGTGATAAAAATGTTCTAAAATTTGATAGTCATGATGGTTGCACACTCTTGGAATATACGGAAAGGATTTGTGTACTTTAGATAGGCAAATCGTATGGTGTGGTAATTATACCTTAATAAAGTTATCCCTCCACCCCAAGTAGAGGTGAAATAAAGACATTTTCAAGTGGAAGAAACTCCCAGAGGATTCATTCCCAGTACCCTGCACTGTGAAAATGCTAAAAGAACTTCAGGCTGATGGGATATGACACCAGATGGCAACACACAGCTAAGAAAAAAGTGAAAAGCAGTGGAAACAGAGCAATAAGTAAGCAGTGAAAAATTTAGTTTTTCTTCTCTTAAGTTCTTTAAAACATATGTGGTTGTTTAAAGCAAAGATATAATATATATGTTTTGTATGTTGGCCTTAAAACATAAAAGGTAATATTACTGAACTAGATAGCTTAAAAAAAAAAACACATTCTATAAAAGAGTCTATGCTTCTTGTTAATAACATATCACAGAATAAAATAAAACGTATTTACCAAAGTTAAATTGAAGTGGAAGATGCCAGTGTATGTGCTATTTATGATTTCCAAGCTGGGAGAAATCCCTCCTGATGCAAACGTGCTTAGAAATTCCTCTGAAGTAAGGGTATTGTCAGATTGAAAATAACACTGGATAACCTATAGGAAAGAGTAAAGAAACAAGTAATGACAGTTTTATGGAGAGAAGTATATTACATTAATTTAAAAGTGAGGAGAAATCTATGGAGAGAAGATATTGCTGACCACTGTTAGTGACTTCCTTCTCTAACTAGGAAAAAATGTCTGTTCTGAAAGCATACTTTCAGTAACTTATTCTGCTAGAGTCATAACAGGTTTCAATTCATCCTCATAATCTCTTCTGTCATAGAAATGGTCATAAGGTTTTGACATTTAATAAACTTAGAATCAAAGTTACATGCTATCACAAATAGAAATTGCTATTTAATTAAAATCATTCCTTTCTGTCCAAATTCCAAAAGAAAGAAATATATAAAGCAAAAATCATTTTGCTGTATTTTTATTGGTTGTTTCCAAGTTTTGAGAAGGTATATTAAAATGTAGCCATCACAAAGGGTGGATTTTACCAAAAGCCAACATGAGATATAAATTAAGGCTTTATCTCATTGAGTTCTCTTAGTAGTTAAGATCATTTTGGGCAAGTCATTTTGTTATAGGGCAGCCCCGATATTGAACGGGTTGCCTGGCTGTGGGTCCTCACCCACGCGCTTAACAGGGACTTATGAATACTCCACTGCAGGCACACACAAAAGGTTAATAAAAGGTTTATTTACAAGGGAAAAGGAAATAAGGAAAATGGACAACTCAGGGAGAAAATAGGGAAATAAAGTCTTTAATGTGTCCTACCCGATCCGCCGACCTGGAAACCCAAAGTCACTCTCAGAGCTGGCAGAGAGCCAAAATGGGGGACCCCCCCCCAAAAGCCCATGTGTCTGGTTTTATACCCACCTGGCTGCTGAACCCCACCCTCAGGTCCCAGCCACTTCCCTTGGGTGGGGATGGGATTTGGAGTTCCCCAGTGTCTTTGGCTTTGGCCTGGGGTAGGGGTGGAGTCCACAAAGCCTGTGTGGAATTAGCTTTAGGACATCATTTTCCCCCTAACAATTTGAGTTTCAGTTTTGCTATCTATGAAGTGGGGAAACAATGCATTCTACAACGTTATTGAGCCCTTACTGTAACAGGGTGGCCCTGTCCTATAACATTACTACGTGCCAGGCAGTGTTCAAAGTGCTGGGAAAACAAAAGTGAACAAAATGAAAAAACCCTGCCTTCATGGAACTTACGTTCTTTTTCTTTTTAAGATTTATTTTTGTTTATATATGCGTACAAGAGATGGGGTGCAGGCCAGAGGTGTGGGGCAGAAGGGCTGTTTAAGAGGAGTCACCAGAGACAAGAGTGGGGAGCAGAACAGGTGTATCTACTGAAACATACTGCTGAGGGGAGCAGTGAGGAGACAGGAGAGGTCTGCTGCGCCAGCTCCCTGGCTGGGGATCGTACTCGGGCTGCAGTGGCTAGAGATAGCTTGATAGCTTTGACACTTTAACCCCTGCACCACCAGGGAGGCCTGGACCTTACATTCTAGTAACTATTGGCAGGGAGATAAATCAAATGGATAGACTGGTAATGGGAGGATGGAGAGAGAAGTAAAATAAATATAGAATACATAACCAGAATAAATTAGAGATGAGTGACTGGGAGTACATGTGTTTGGAAGGGAGAGTGATTTTTAATAGGGCTATCAAGGAAAAGGACAATGGTACTGAATGGGATTGAAAAATACCACCCCACAATATGCTACTTTAGCATAAGGATTATTTTGAGCTGAAGGCAACAGGGAAACAGCAGATGCAAAAAGAACCCTCTACGCTCTCCTTAACTACTTAACAGCAGGCTATGAATTTCCCTTTGTGAAGTGGTTCCCTCTTACCTCTCCTGTCCCAGGCGGAGAAAAGATTCTTTTTACCACTGGAGACAGAAAGTCGGCACCAAATGGTCTGCATAACAAAGCTTGATAAAATCACCCTTATCTTCATTCGTTTCCCCCAACAATTTATCATTCCTAAGAACCCAAGCCCCCTTTCATTATCTTATCACTCCCCCACAACTTATTGTCCTTTGTTAAGATGGTATATAAAAGAGCCCCAAATTCTAACCACCCCTTTGTGTTGCTCATCATTGTGTTCTTTCATGGCTGTGAGAATGGCAAAGGTAAATAAACTGTTCTCTTTTTTATCTTTCCGTTTTTTGCTCACTTAAAGTCCGTTTAATCTTTCAGTTTATTTTACAGGCTCCAGCCACTGAATCTAAGAGAATAGTTCAGTACTCTCCTGCAGTGCTTATAGATTAAATGTCATATTAAACATAAAAAAACATTTTAAAAAATGCCTCTTACACCTGAGTACTTTATGAAGCTTAGCTATTATTTCTAATACCATTTATACAACTATTATATCACAACTATCAAAAAACAGGTTACAATTTCCCATGTAAGAGTACAAAACTGGGGCCTCCCTGGTGGCGCAAGGGGTTAAGCACCACACCGTGAAGCTGTCTGCAGCCTCTACTACACGAGTTCCATCCCCAGCAGGCCAGGGAGAGACCCACATGGCACCGCAGACCTCTCCAGTCTCACCCGCTGCTCCCCTCAGCAGTGTACTTTGGTCAGTCTGCCTGTTCTGTTCCCCACTCTGTCTCTGGTGAATCCTCTCACCCCCCACACCCCAGTTCTCGTATGCATAAATAAATCTTTTTTTTAGGGTTAGGGTTATGAGAACTGGGGTACAGGCTAGCAAAAATAAATCTTAAAAAAAAAAAAGAGTACAAAATTAAGGGCAGAGAGTCAGATCACCTGCTCCAAGGCACCTGCTCCATTCATGGCAAGACCAAAACATGACTTCAGTTCTGTAGGATTCTCTCCTTCTAAAGTGTATTCTTTTCACATAATATATAATCACAAATCATAAAGGCATTTCTTATTCAAAGGAAATGCACTTTGCAACAGTTGTTAGTAAGAACCTAATTATCATCGGTCACATCAAGAAACTGGTAATTAAGTCAAAGCAGACTTTGGGATAAATGTTATTTGACTGCATAGGCTATTTCTCTCTAGTTTTATTATATTTATCATGGATTTTTTAGGGAACATGTCAATTTTTTAGTAACGTATGCTTTTGTTAGCATTTGCTGGGTAGCTATGTCAGTACATTTTATTTTATTTTGTTCTGTGTTTTTTTAATCTGCCATTATTTGAATCAAAGGAATAATGTCATCTTTTGCCAAGATGACAACAACAATGTGGTACTTGTTACATAAAGGGAACGAGTTTTTCTCAAGGTCATGTGAGGTAATTTTCCTTCTCTAACAGGCCACATCTGTCAGCTTCAAAAGGACAAATCAGATCCATAAAAAATGAGGATTGCTATAGCTACTCTTTTAAAAAGCAAAAAACACGCCATCTTAAAAACAAAAAGGCAGCAAAACAAAACAAAAACACCCAAGGTATTCCAAGGTTGAATAAAAGTTTTTACCTGATCCAAGTGGAATGAAGTAGAAAGGACAGATAGGATTATTATTTCTGTAGAATCTCACCTCCCAAGTCTGAACAGAGTAGCAGGTATTTAAAAAGAGTGCAGTGTTCCTGTTTTAATTCATGGACTGAAAAGGAAAGTGGAGGTTTGCTACAGACGCTATTAGTGGATCTTACCAAGTTCTCTAAGAAAAGAAACAACTTGATTGTGCCATTCTTTGCTGTGTGCCCATAGTTAATACAAGAAAGGCGTTTTTCCAAAGTACCTAAATAATACAAAATATATGTACATTGTGTCACTTATAGAAGAGCCATCTTTTCTTTAACATTTTCGTTCAAAAACCATACTTTGTATGTAAATGACATTTATTTTTAACTGAGATAATATGGGAGTACCCCATCAAGTATTACCACCACAATGCACCCTCCACCAACTCACCCATATTCCACCACCACAGACCATTATGCTTCCTTCCCTCTCTGCTCTTTTCCTACCCACACCCCCTTTCAACCCCTGCCTTCTGGTCTTTCAGTTCTGTAGTCCGTTATCAAGGGTTAGTTTTTCAGCTTGTCTTTATCTATTAACTTAGTTACTTTGTATTCTGTTTGCTAGTGACACCATCAGGTATTTATCTTTCTTCTTCTGACTTATTTCACTTTGCATTATCCTTTCAAGCTTCATCCATGAGTTTATCTTTTTTGATCATTGAGTAGTATTTCACTATGTATATATACCACATCTTCTTGATCCACTCTCTGTTCTGGGGCACTTAGGTTGTTTCCATAGTTCAGCTATAGTAAATAGTGCTGCAATAAACATGAGACTTCAAGTTTCCTCTTGAATTAGTGTTTTTTAAATTTTTTGAATAATGTGTGGGAGTGGAATTATGGGGTCAAATGGCTGACTGATCCTTGTTTAATGTTTTGAGACACCTCCATACTACTTTCCAAGAGAATCATATTTTTTATTTTTTTAAAGATTTATTTATGCATACAAGAGCTGAAGTACAGGCCAGAAGTGTGTGTGTGTGGGGGGGGGGGCGGCGAGAGGATTCATCAGAGACAGAGTGGGGAACAGAACAGGCAGACTGACTGAAATACACTGCTGAGGGGAGCAGCGGGCGAGACAGGAGAGGTCTGCTGCACCATGTGGGTTGCTCCCTGGCCGGCCGGGGATCAAACTCATGCTGCAGTGGCTGCGGATAGCTTCATAAGTTGTGTCTTAACCCCCTGTGCCACCAGGGAGGCCCTGAGAATCATATTTTTTAAATGCCAAATTTTTTTAAAAGAATAAGGATTAATATTGGATATTTTAAATTTACATTACTCTAGATAAAATTCAAATATTTCACTTTTTTATTTTAAAGAGACATCATCAGGTTACTAAAAAGGAAGGTTTGGTTGAACACTAAAACAAAAGATAACACAAGCTAGGCCACGATACAAAATTAGAGGTGGCCCAAAATCAATTCTTGACTTTTAACCTCCTCAACCTTGGGGAGCACGTAAGAGGGCAAGGAGCTAGAGATTGGAGAATTCATGCTTTGATAGCGAGCTACTGATCTGAGGTGACTCCTCTCTCTACAAGGGAATGTCTTAACTTCTCGAACCACACTCTTAAAGGACAGTTTCCCCAGATACAAAATTACTAGTTGACAAGTTCTTTCTTTTAGCATTATGACTATGGCAGCCTACTGCCTTCTTGCTTCTAGGGTACCTAATGAAACATCTACTGATAATTTTATTGACGATCCTTTTTATGTGATCATTTTACATCTCTTGTGCTGCTTTCAGGACTCTATAGTTTGCATTAGCACATTTAATTAATGTGTTAGTGTGGGTCTTTCTGAGTTCATCTTCCTTGAAGTTTGATGAGCTTCCTGGATATTTATATTCATGTCTTTCTCAAATCTGGGCAGTTTTCAGCCACATGCCTTCATATATTCTCTTCCCTCCCTCTCTGTCTCCACCTTGTTACTCTCACACAGAGGGCATGCCAGCCCACTTGTCCCACAAGTTCCTTATGTTCTGTTCACACTTTTCAAGTTCTTTGTCCTTTTACTCCTCAAACTCAATAATTCCATTATCCGATCTTCAAGTTCATTGATTCTTTATTCTGCCTGCTCAAAGGTGCCTTTGCATCCCTGTCGTGGTTTCCCTTTCAGTTATTGTACTTTTCAGCACCAGGATTTCTTTTTGGCCTCTTTCCAGATTTTTTATCTCTTTATTGATATTTTCATTTTGTTCATACATCATTTTCTTGACCTTCTCCACATCTTCCTTTAGTTCTTTGAACATCTTTAAGATGATTAAAGTTTTTTTTTTAAACAGATATCCAGTCTTTTTCAAGGACAGCTTCTGTTTATTTCATTTTTTTCCCCTTTGAACGGGTCATACCTTCCTGTTTCTTTGTATGCCTTGTGATTTTTTTTCTGCTGTTGTTGAAAACTGGGCATTAAATCTAATAATGTGGTAAATCTGGAAACCAGATTCTTCCCCAGGGCTTCTTTTTATTGTTACTGCTTTTGTTTATTGTTGTTGGGGCTTTGTTGTTGCTGTTGCTGCTGTTACTGCTGTTACTGCTGTAGCATTCTTTGTGCCATAGGCCAGCCTGAGATTTAAACTTATGGTTCCCAGGTCTTTTCTGAACTTGAGTCTTTCCCTTGTGTGGTCGCTTTCTAATTTAACCCCTGTGTGCAGTTGCTTTTTAATGTCCTACTCTTTGGACATTAAATGAAGGAAGGTGGAAGATAGGGCATTGAGCCTTTAAGTCCCTTTTGAAAATCATTTTAACCAGAGGGAGAGAGGGGCTTGCATCAAAGTCTCTATACTTTATGATCAGAAACAGCGATCAGCATTCAGAGCATACATCCTCAGTATTTAGAAGACAGGATCCTTTTTGTCCACTCTGGCTTCTTCAAGTTGTGTGTCACTGCTCTGGGAAAACATGCATAGCTGACTACCACAGGGATGAGGGCAGGAGGTGGAGGTGCATAGCTGCTATGTAAAAAGAGCTGATAATGATTGAAATAAACAGCAATTTATTGTCTGCTCCTTCCCCCTGGACGTTGCAAGCTTTCAACAGAGTTCAGTTTTATCTGTTACATAGCCTTGGTGATTTTATTTACAATAAAAGCTGGGTTCTATAATCTGAAATTACTGGATAATTGTTTGGATCACTTAATTGTAACTGAAAAAGTCCTGGGACCCTCCCATAAACTCATCCAGGGAAAGAGAATGACTAGTCCCAAGGATGGGAAATAAAAATAAGTCTCTGTTATGACTGCATGGTATTCATCTTGATCATCTAACACAGAAGTTTCAATGCTGTTCTGAAAATCCTATAATTAAACATAGCAATGCAAATATAACAAAATTGGCTTAAAATACATTAAAATATACTTTCTATCTATCCATTCATTTTGCCCATACCTGAAAATGCTACCAGACCTATTTTTTAAAGCTATAATTTGTCTTTAAAGTCCAAATATCTTCTCTATTTAAAAATCTTTATTGACACCCTTTGACTGATGAATAAACTCCTTAAAAGGAGAAAAATTAAGCAGAAGGAAATTAACTCCTTTGAATAACATGCTTTGAGAGTCTGGATTTACATTTCATTTTATTAAATGCTCAGAATACCTTGTATCCTCTCTAAGAAGATGAATCAAGAGTCAAGAAGATTAATTTATTTCTCAAAAGTCACCCAATTCACAATCATAAGTCAGATCGAAACCAAGGTGTTTTTGTCTCAAAGAGTCATCCCCTCTTTATCCTGCTAGACTGTCTTCAATCCATTATCTGATCTTCAAGTTCATTGATTCTTTATTCTGCCTGCTCAAATGTGCCTTTGAACTACTCTAGTGGCTTTCATTTCAATTACTGTACACTTTTCATACTAATGTAGTGCATGAACAGAAAAAGACTGACTTCATGACTGAAGATCTGATGCAAACTATCATGATGGGCTTCTATTTGTTTCCCAACTCTCCTTCCTCCAATAGATTTTACAAAATGCTGTCACATTAATCACCCTAAATTATAGCTATGTTACCTCCCTATCCAGTAATTTCAAATGGTTTCTCAATGAATAGAGACTAAAGCCAGAAATCTTTACCTTGACATCCAAGTGCCCCTGAAATGAGTCAGTTGCCACTTCCCAGAATGGTTTACTTCTTCTGTTTCATCATTCTAGTCATACATAACTATTTTCTGTTCCCCTACATTCTGTGGCTTCCTACTTCTACAACTTATTACTGACCTTGATGTTGTCTTTGCAGAGTACTGTTCCTCACACGAATATAGGTAACTATTGCCCATTTTGGAGCCCTAGGTTGATGGCTATCTTTTATACCAAGGCCTCCATGACCACTTACCACCCCCTGCCAAGATAGGAGTAAACACTCTATTCTCTGAAATCTCATAAATTTGCCTGAAACTCTATCATCTTAGATTATATCCATACACATGCCATATATTCTCTATTAGAATACAGGAACTAGAAATGGATCATCCCAGAATTCACCCAATTCTGCAGTATATCCGTGAATAGAAGAGCCTGAATTCATGTCTTCAGCCATTCAGTCAACAATTTTTTTAACTGAGCATCTACTGTGTTTTAGTAGCTCCAGTTCAGTATACTATAGAATCTAAACAATCTGCACATTTGTCTTATTGCTTTTATAAAGTTTTCTACCATAAAAGTTCTATTGACCAACTTATCCATGTATTACTTTCAGAAAATTCTCTTCAATCTAAGTCTACTAACTTTACAATCAGTTTACAACTCATACTCATGGAAACTTTCTTTGTGGAGAAAAAAGAAAGATCTATTCAAATAAAGTTTTGCAAATATAAAATGCTCCTTAAACTTTAAATATTCTATGACATTTAAATGATGAAATACTATAACAAAAGAAAATTCTTTCTATAAACAACTTAATAGCATTCAAGTCACATGACACATATCATTAGAAACCTCTGGACCAGAACACAACAGATAATACCTGGGAAAATTGGAAAACAAGGTAAAGAAGAAGTACTAAAAGAAAAAAATTATAACCACTGGTTAGGAAGGCGTGTAAGGAGAATTCCTGAGAAGAAAACAAATTAAGAGAGTCTGAAACTTACCTTTATTATATATCATTCCTGATGAAAAATCGAGCATATTGAAAAGTAAAATTATAATATATAAAAGTGGCAATTCCATCTGTTAGAAGAAATACAAATTATTTTCGTTCAATATCTTCCAGCATACTTTTTTGAGTTACTTTTGCTATAAATAACTATATATAGTGCAGGCATCATCTCTTCAAATTAAAAATATTTCTCATTAAGTGACAAAAGCAAACAGCAGTTGACCGAGCTCTACACTAACTCTGTGTTATTAAAGCTATAGACAAATGTTAGTGTTACTGAAAGAATTATGGCTCAGGTTTTTCTTCCGTGCAGACACCTGTTGGAGGGCTGCAATCCTTTCTATAGCTGTGTAAAACAGGATCTTACTTGATAAAGGTACAGCTTTGCCTTGACCTAAGATTTTGATTGACCTACTGTAGTGGCAGGAAGGGCCAGAGCGGGATCTCTATAACCCGAGCAGGCCGGTCAAGGAGGAGAGTCCTGGAGCCCTTGGTGGCTTTTCAGGCTTTTATTGGGATTTACCAGGCCCATGGCAGGCAGGGGCGCTGGAGGCCTGCCAGCCTCCCAGCCCCCAGCAAGTCTTCATTCTTTCTGTACTCTATGTTGTTCTCTCTGCTTCTCTTTTGCCGGTTCTTCCGTTTGTTCTGCTGGCGTCCCCGTGACGCCGCCCTTATAAGCCCAGTCTCTCAGCCCAGGTGAATCCCATCTACACATGCCCACACCCTACTCCAGGTGCCGCCATCAGGCATGCATTCAGGACCGCAGATCCATCATCCATCCTAATGGTGGAAAGGCAGAAAATCCTGCTATCATTTTCACTTACCCTACACCTACTTTTGAGAGGGATAATGCACGCAAGTGCTGAACATCTCTGCATTTTCTTGCCCCGCCAAGAACATAAGATGCTGACCACTTACTGCCCAGCTTTTTCTCTGAGCTTTATTTGCAGGAAGGAAAATAAAAGAATATTTGAGAGTTTACTAATCATCATGCACACAGAAATAAGACTTTGAAATATTGTCCTTACCAGGTGTAGGGTAAAGAAAATATCAGGCTTTTCTGCCCTTCCGCCATCAGGATAGATGATGGATCCTTGTCCTGAATGCATGCCTGATGGCGGGCACCTGGAATAGGGTGTGGGCATAGGTAGATGGGATTCAGCTGAGCTAAGACTGTGCTTTTAAGGGCGGCGTCACGGGGGGACGCCAGCAGCACCAGCACCAGCAGCAGCAGCAGCCGCAGCCGAAGCCGAGAAGCAGCAGAACGAACGCTAGAGAGCCCAGATAGAGTGAGGACTTGCTGGGGGCTGGGAGGCCTGCCAGCCTCCCAGCCCCCCAGCCAGCACCCCTGCCTGCCATATGCCTGGTGAACCCCAAATAAAAAACCTGCAAAACTACTGAGGACTCTGACTCCTCCTTTACCCGATCTGCATGGGATCAGAGAACCTGCACCGTGTCCAGTCCTGACCTTACAATTGGCGTATGTCGGCAAGATCCATGCAGACGGGTATTGGAGCCCTCCGAAGACCTGGAGGGACTAAGGAGAACAGACTTTGCCTGTGACGACGCTGGAGGCACCATGGCGGTATAGAAGATGGATACGTCCACGAGCTACAGGATGAGACCTGGCGTGAAGGAGACGCCCGAAAGGACCAGCCAACGACACCGGAAAGGACCAGCCAACGACACCGGATAGGACCAGCCAACGACACCGGAAAGGACCAGCCAATGACCCCTGAGGCAGCAGGCCATTGCTGAAGCAGGGAGAGGCCAATGGACTGATAGACTGATGAACTGATGATTTTGGACTGACAATCCCGCCAGAAGGCGGAGGACCTTAGCAGGTTATGTTTATTTTTGAGAATCTGGGGTGGCCAGTGGGCCTAGATGGCCAAAAGCAGCCTGTGTATGCCCAGTGGCCAGGTGGAGGAGAAAAGCCAACTAAGGTGGCAAAAGCTGGTACTGATGCTAAGTTGAGAAGCCCTAAAGCGGCTGATAAGCAGCCTGGGTATGCTGAAGCCCTGTGAGTCTCGTAAAATCACCTATGGGTGATGCCCTGCTCATTCTTGAGTGAGGGTGAGGAGCTGAGGAGCCCGTCCTTGTGGGACGGGTGGGGAATGTGGCTTGGGGTGGAGCCCAAGCCAAATGCAAAGTTTGGATCCCCAACCCATGTGCTTGTGCAGTGGGTTGGCTTGAGTGCAGGGGTCTGTGAGTCGCATGGGTGGCCATGAAGGCCGAGTGTTGGAGCGACTGCAGACAGAAACCCTGAGGGTTGGCGATTACCCCCAACAGAATAAAATTGCCAATCCCAGAGCTAGTGCATCCTGGGGGTGGATGCTGTGTGTGCCTTGTAGCAGAGACTACAGCCAGAGAAGGCCAGGAAGCCTGACGGCTCCTGGTGTGTTATAGCAGATGCCGTGTGTGATTTCCCCTCCCTCGTATGAGCAGTGCCTTCGGCAGCAGATTTGGTGGCTCATCTGCTGGTACCAATAATTGTCTTTTGCACTTGGTTGGTGCCCTGCCTGGACTTATTTGTGTTCTGTTGTATTTTGTTATGTTGTATTTTGTTATTTGATGTATTTGCTTTTGTGGGCCATGGCTGCATTGTTTGTTTGCTTAGAAAATTGTGTATATATGTATAGACTGTATGGCAGAAAACCCTGAGGGGGTGGACTGTAGGGTAAAGAAAATATCAGGCTTTTCTGCCCTTCCGCCATCAGGATAGATGATGGATCCTTGTCCTGAATGCATGCCTGATGGCGGGCACCTGGAATAGGGTGTGGGCATAGGTAGATGGGATTCAGCTGAGCTAAGACTGTGCTTTTAAGGGCGGCGTCACGGGGGGACGCCAGCAGCACCAGCACCAGCAGCAGCAGCAGCCGCAGCCGAAGCCGAGAAGCAGCAGAACGAACGCTAGAGAGCCCAGATAGAGTGAGGACTTGCTGGGGGCTGGGAGGCCTGCCAGCCTCCCAGCCCCCCAGCCAGCACCCCTGCCTGCCATATGCCTGGTGAACCCCAAATAAAAAACCTGCAAAACTACTGAGGACTCTGACTCCTCCTTTACCCGATCTGCATGGGATCAGAAAACCTGCCTTGTGCCCTGTCCTGCCCCTTACACCAGGAAAATCTTGTATTATTTTGCTAAATATTCACATTGAATGACATAACATCATTATTAGAACCTGTTGGTGTTTCTCATCCCTGAAAAATTGACTGAAATATTTTGCTCCAGGCTCAGGTTTGGATGATCTGGGTTTGGATGACCTTTAAGTTATCCCCAGTGTTGTTTCAATTCAGTTCTAATTTCATTTGAGTGAGTTTGAGTGTCTCTATCTCTGACTAAAAAAGGAAAACCTGGGGCTTCCCTGGTGGTGCAAAAGGTTAAGATGCAGACTATGAAGCTATCTGCAGCTACTGCAGCACAAGTTCGATCCCCGGCCAGGGAGGTGACCCACATGGCACAGCAGACCTTTCCGGTCTCCCCGCTGCTCCCCTCAGCAGTGTATTTCAGTCAGTCTGCCTGTTCTGTTCCCCACTCTGTCTCTGGTGAATCCTCTCACCCCCCACACCTCTGGCCTGTACCCCAGCTCTTGTATGCATAAATAAATAAATCTTAATTATGATAAAACTCAGATCTTGCAAGAATTCGGTTTATAAAAAAAAAATGAAAAACTTACTTTGAAAGGCTTTTAAATATTTTCTTAAAGAAAGGGAAACCCAAGGGAGCGAAACTTGAGGGAGAGACGCTAAGGAGTGATCTTTGAGCTCTCCAAGCTGTGCTAGTAGTTGTATGTAACGTTTTTCTAGTAAGTCAACTTTTGTTTTTATTCTGAAATGTGATTTTAATAAAGTTTGTCTTTTTTTTATTTTTTTAAAAGATTTATTTATGCATTGTAAAGCAACCAACCCATTCCGAGCAGGTTTATGAACGGTTCTAGCAGCCACATGCTCTTCGCCGTGGTTTGTAGTCGCTCCAACACTCCTCCGTACACTCCACTCCTCCACCCTTGACACCGCACTACCACCACACCGCACTCTGCTGCACCACCCTTATATTATCAGTCTTTTAGCGCAGGTGTACCCACTTCAGGTGCCCGCCATCAGGCATGCACCCAGGATCACAGGGCTCCCTCATCTATCCTGATGGCGGAAGGGCAGAAAAGCCTGATACCTTTTACCTTACCCTACATGCATACAAGAGCTGGGGTACAGGCCAGAGATGCGGGGGGAGGGGGGGCGGTGAGAGGATTCACCAGAGACAGAGTGGGGAGCAGAACAGGCAGATCCACTGAAACCCACCACTGAGGGGAGCAGCGGGGAGACAGGAGAGGGCTGCTGTGCCATGTGGGTAGCTCCCTGGCCAGGGATCGAACTCATGCTGCAGAGGCTACGGATTGCCTCATAGTGCGGTGCTTAATCCCCCGCGCCACCAGGGAGGCCCAAGTTGGTCTTTTAAGCCACCTCTTTTTTTTTTTTTTTTTTTGTAATTTGGAGATGGAATGTTGATATGAGACATTAAATATCATGTCCAAAATTAGTAACAAGCAAACAACAGAGTCAGGATTAAGACCAAAGTCTCTTGATTCAATAGATCAGTGCACAAAGATGCCGCAAAATGAGTATTTCAGCACTCAAAAGATACCAAGTGCATGATTAGATTTACCTCTCAATAAAACTGCTATACTTGTCCACCATCATTCTGTTCTCTCCACATAATTAGTCTCATTCTTCAGGATTATTACTGTTCTCAACTGTTCTCAATTCTCTGTGAGTAATCATCTCATGTTTAGAGAAAAATCACTGTTCATTCATTGAGAGATGTGTGATCTTTGAAAAGTTACCTAACTCCTTTGAGCTTGGTTTCTAGTTAGTCAAACAGGGATAACAGTCACTTCATCGGGTAGTTGTGAGAATGAAATGAATAATATAATCAAAACATCGAACAGCTACTTTACACAAGCTAGGCACTTGATAAATACCAGCTCTGCATCTGTCTCTATGCACAGAAGCAGCTTCTTTATCCTCATCATTCTTGCCTAATCACCCATTAACAATTAAATTACTCCCCGGTTATCCGTCCTATTTAATTGTAAGTTTTGCATAATGGTCAGATATAAGCCACATGTCTGGCCATTTCCTCTTTTCTGATTCTTTTATAAACACTCCACGAACATGGAAGTGAGTGCATTGTCAAGTCCCACGATAGTACGACCTTTATTTCTTACTGTAATTCCTCTTAATGAGATGCTCGACTAGTTAGTTGTGCTTTTCTTTTTTATATTTTCCCAAGCTTCCTTCCACATAGGCCGAGAAAGAAGACCCAAAATCAGGAGCTGAGCTTTCACCGTTTACTGGTTTACTTTGGTAACAACCAATCAGCTGAAGCACGTTGTAAAAATCTAAAGGACTGGCAGTTGGAATTTCCAATTAACTGCCTCCTTCAGAGCACCAAAGATCATCTTCATTAAAAATCTGAAAGGTAGAGTTTCTCCTGCTCCACCATCTACATCTCAAGGGTACAGTTTACCTGTCAACACAACATGCACTAGGAAGTCTCATGACAACATGTACAACGAGGTTGAAGGGAAGAGAAACTGTCAGAGCATCACAACTGTGTCTTGAAGGGAGGGAGGGAGGGAGGAGGGAATTAAAAAAATAGAGCAGAATTTATTGACAGGGTAAACAATACACAAAGCCGAAAGATGGAAATGTTGTGTATGTATGGGGCTTAGTAAACTCGAATGACTGCCAGTCTGTTCTCCAGATTCATCATGTATGAAGGGCCTTTTTCTGGTTGACTCTACCCACTCAGGATGCCTTTAACTAGAAGGCCAAGGCTGAGCCTTCCTGACTTACTCAGCGCCCTGACTCATCATGAATGGTCACTGAGGCTAAAAAAGAATTTTTTAAATAATGATAATAAAACCGGCTTTACAGTGAGTCCCTTTACATGGGTACTTAGGACATTGCAAAGGGCAGGACAGGGCACAGTGCAGGTTTTCTGATCCCATGCAGATCGGGTAAAGGAGGAGTCAGAGTCCTCAGTGGCTTTTTGCAGGTCTTTTATTGGGGTTCACCAGGCATATTGTAGGCAGGAGTGCTGGGGGGCCGGGAGGCTGGCAGGCCTCCCAGCCCCCAGCAAATCCACACTCTCTCTGGGCTCTCTGGTGTTCTCTGCTTCTGCTTCTTTGCTTCTCTCTTGGCTTCTCTTCGGCTTCTGCTTCTTCTCGGCTTCTTCTGGCGTCCCTGTGACGCCGCCCTTAAAAGCACAGTCTTAGCGCAGGTGGACCCACTTCAGGTGCCCGCCATCAGGCATGCATTCAGGATCACAGGGTTCCCTCATCTATCCTGATGGCGGGAGGGCAGAAAAGCCTGATACCTTTTACCTTACCCTACAGACATATTTTATACTCTTGTCGTGAAAGACAGCTGGGATCTGGGTTTAATCCACTCCTGGCAGAACCTGTGTAAGAAATTCTTTCTCTCAACTTCGGTGGTGACTTTGACCCAAGGAAGTGACTCCTCAATCTGAAATAAACATGCAGATCTCAACATGTCGCCAGCACCTGGCTAAGGCTGTTCTCCTTGGACTGCACCTTGTCTGCTGTGTATGTGCTCTTGTGCGACAAGTGGCCAGACCCTGGCCTCCAACAAGAAGTAAAATATCCCTCCTAATAAAATCCCTTTATCTTGCTGGTTCCCCACTAAAGAAGGTGCCAAAACTTTTATATGAAAGCAAGCTCTGGTTTGCAGTCTCTGTGGCAAAACTGTCTATAAGCTCTTTCTCCACCCTGCCTGGAACAGGTAGGTCTGAGCAGCGCTAACGGTCCACACTGATGACTCTAAAGAAAACTGTGAAGCAGGTGACTTTTGCCTTCTTTCTGCCACCACCTCCTTTGGTTGCTTTCCCTTCCTCATTTGCCCCCATATGGGGCTGCCTTCCCAGTTTTTTTTGTTTTTTTTTATATTCCCTATACAATTGCAACCCCCTTTTTTGACCTCAATCCCTCCTTTCCCCACCCCGCCCCCATGGTGTGTCTCTGGTTCATAGTTGTTTGTTGATTTTGATTTTTTTCTTTCTTACAGTCATTTTTTTCTGGTCCCTTATTTAGGTTTTCTAGATTCCTGCTATGAGTGAGACCATCCGGTATTTTTCTTTTTCTTTCTGGCTTATTTCGCTGAGCATGATCCCTTCCAGCTCCATCCATGTTGCTGCAAATTGAAATAGAAGTAGACACAAAGAAATGGAAAGACATCCCCTGCTCACGGATCAGAAGAATTAACATTATCAAAATGGCCATCCTACCAAAAGCAATCTACAGATTCAATGCTATTCCAATTAAAATTTCAATGTCATTCTTCAAAGAAATAGAAAAAATATTGATGAAATTCATATGGAGCCACCAAAAACCCCAAATAGCCAAAACCCTCCGGAAAAAAAAAAGAAGGGAATGGAGGCATCACTCGCCCAGATTTCAAACTATACTACAAAGTCATAATCATCAGAACTGCATGGTATTGGAACCAGAACAGACACACAGACCAATGGAACCAAACAGAAAACCCAGAAATAAACCCACAGATTTATGCCTTCCAGTTCGAGTGGCGCTTTCCTTCCCTAACATGAGCAAGGTCTGCTTTGAGTCACAGCTACGTTTGCTTGTGAATGACTACCAAGAGTGCCCCCTCAGAGAGCACATCTGAGTAACAGTGCACTGAAAGATGTTCTCCCCCCCCCCCCCCCGAAGGGCAAGTTAGCCACTTGGCCGCTAGAGGGGAAATTTAGGGACAAGGGGAGGGGGGAATTGAAAGAAGGACAACTTTGGCTTTTTCTGTAATTTTTTTTCTGACCATAAAAGTACTCGTTATACAAAACTTGGAAAATATAAACAGGTTCTAGGTATCCAGTATTCTGATTTTATTTTTACCATAAATTAGCTTTATATGTTCTTGAATTCAATATAATGGAATCATATTGTTGTTACTTTTGTCTGACTTCTTTTTTTGTAATTTATTTATTTATTTTATTTTTTACATCATTGTTCATTTTTAAACATTTGCTTTCCCCCACCCCTTCAGGTGTAGTCTCCATAGAGTGTCCTTCCCCAAGGCACCTGTGCACCATCACCTCAGTCCCCTGCGCGCCTCCCTCCCTCCCTCTGCTCCCTCTCCCGCCTCCTCCCCTGCAGCATGTCTCTGATTTATAATTGTCTGTTTTTGTTTTGTTGTTAAATGGGTATTTTTTAATTAAAGAAAAAAAATTTACCCATAAACCAACAATTAGATTTAACCATTGTTACCATTTTGATATATTTTTCAGTCTGTCCCCTACACATTTATTCTCTATATTACATGTAGGGTCCTTCTTTATATATAGTTTCATGTCCTTCTTTTAGTCATTGTCATTCTCATGTAATATGAGTGTTATTTTCAAAAATTTTGATAGTGACAAATCTAAAATAACTGTACACAATGTTCTTAAACATAAGTCATTCAGCTGTTTTCAGTGCTTCCCTATTACGAATGATGTGGTAGCAAATAATCCTGAACAAAAATCTTTCTCTGCATTTTAAAATATTTCTTCAAGACGTGAGTGAATATGTTTAATATTTTTAATGCATGTTGGCAAATTGCCTGGAAAATGCAGCATTGAGAATTAGATATAATCTGTAATGATTTGATAGGCAAAACATTGTTTTACTATTTGAATATTGGTATACTTGAACATTTGTTAGTCATTTTTTCTTCGATAAATTATCTGGATATATTCGTAGCTATTTTCTGTCACAATTTTAGTGTTTTGCTTATAAAATGATATAATAATTCCTTGCAATATTTACTGACTATTGAACCTAATTTTTCATTTGCCTTAATTTTATGTGGGCCATGATGAACAGTAATTCAAATATGACACAATCAAATTTATTAATGTTTTCCTTTCTGGTAATTTCCATAGCCTTATGGTTTCAAAATCTTCCCCCATCCAGAAACATACTTTTCTTCTTCTTTTTATGTGAGAAAATTTAAAAACTCAAAAACAACAAGGATATTTTGATGATCCAAGATCACTGCAGAAAGTTTTAAAAATACATGATATTTCCAAACACTGGGAAAAGTAGGAAGAACTGCATAATCATCATCTAGCATAGCATTAGTTCTCTTTCATCAATACACCCACCCTTTCATCTTCCTTCTCCAGGGTCCTCTTGAAGATATCCTAGACATCTACCTACACTTCAGTAAATATTTCTAAGAGAAAGTCACCTTTTTTAAATAAGAGAAAACCACAATACCATCTCACGTCTAAAAAGAATGAGGATTCTGGATATCTGTTTATATTTTCCCAGTTATTTCATTCTTAAATTTTGTTACAGTTTGTATGTATGAATCATGTTTCAATAATGTTAGTTAACTATTTTCCCTCTCTTCAATCATGGTCTCTTTCTTTTTCCTTGCAACTTATCATTTGAAGATGTAGTTATTTCTAACGTTCCTCACAGTCTGGATCTGGCTAATTGCACCATCACCATGTCTTTTTACACCTTCGGTCTATCTCATTTGTCCTGAAATACCACCAAGCAGATTTAGAGGCTTGATAGGATTCTGGTTTATGTTTTTTGGCAGGAGCACATCATAGGTGGTATTGGTCAGTTCCAACAGGAGGCACCTGATGTCTGATTGTCTCTCTTTTCTTTTCTTTTTTAAAGTTCCTTTTTTTTTAAGATTTATTTATTTATTTGTACAAGCACTGGGTATAGTCAGAAGCACGGGAGGGTGAGAGAACTCACCAGAGCCAGAGCGGGGAGCAGAACAGGCAGACTGACGAAGTACACTGCTGAGGGGAGCGGTGGGCGCGGCGGGAGAGGTCTCTGCACCATGTGGGACTCTTGCCGGTGGCCGGGGA